GCTTGATATGAGTGGAAAAACTGCCGGTGAGGAGGACCGGTAGTATCGTAGAGATGGTGGCCTGAGCAAAAACTTGGTGGGCTCGGGCCTCCGGGATCGGAACTAATTTCTAACGCTGCCGGCGGCACGGGAGCGATTTTTTCTCGTATCTTCCAAAATTTTCGCTCTCGTAATTGTTGTTACCAGAGCGCTTTGAAAGCTGACGGGAGCGAAATCGCTCGCCGCTCCCGTGTATTTTTTTCGCTGATGCTGTTATATACAAAGTGCAAGGTGTAGGTGTGATACTAGAATCTCAATTAGTAGCAAAACATTTTTCCAAATGTTTCAATCAAATATTCTAAAGTCGCATGCCTTTTAAGTCAACATATAGCAAAGATATTTACAATGTTTTGGTTGTAATTTACACGTAGCTCTACACTGGCTGAATCCAGCTTTCAAGAACGTCACGTTCAGTAAGAAGATTCAGGAAGTAGCAAAAAACATTGGTTTTCAGAGGCCTGTTGTTGTACAAAGTATGGTTATTCTAAAAGTAAGTATGTGCACTTGTTCCCATGTTTAATTGAATCAATATAATAAAATTGGGTAAGTGCGCACACAAATAATGTGTTGCTACGTTGTATTTTACTTACATGTGGTGTCTGCGGGTTTGTAGTTCAGTTTATAGCATTACCTAATCTGTGCAAAAATGTGTAAAGATGTTAATTAATCTATGCATAATCTTGAGCACATTTACGTTCTTGTTACAGCCACCGAGAATCGGAGCAGCAGGTATGTTTGTAACAATTATATTGTTTTCACTTGTAATATTTATTGAAAACTAATCATTATGAAATATAATCAGTGAAGATCATGATTGCATTTTTTGGTTTTACTCGTTAGTTAATAAACTCGACTGGCTACGAGACTGGTTTTCTCATGAGCATGATGCAATGCTCTTTAATTGCTTATATATTTCTCCGTATTGCTCTTGCTTTATATTTGTTTGTAGTTGGGCCACATCAAGACTTGTCGTTTCTGTATACGGACCCACCGAAAGTTGTCGGGTTTTGGTTAGCACTCGACGATGCTACCTTAGAGAACAGCTGCATGTGGTTTTCTCCAAAATCACACAATGGTGAGTTGTGGGGGGAAATTTTGTGTATAATACTGCAAATATCGTCAAAGGCCAGAATGAAGTTTAATCATAGTTAAATGTGTTTAGAATATGCACATTAGTATCACCCAATATGTGGCTTCCAATACTAAGTAGGAATTTAGACTATCTACTATCATGTGATATATATGTGTGGCTGTTGATATGCAATACTGAGAAAGTGGATCCGTTTAGGTTGATATATGGTACGGTGATATCATTCACCGACCATGGTCGTGCAGTTTTGAAGAGTGCAGGCATATTTTGCAGATGTGGCTTTAGTACAAAGTCTGTATTTAAGCCAACAGGTTTGGTGATGAAAATGCGTTGAGTTGGACCTGATAAAAACTAGTGACTTGAAACCTCTGGTGCAGTACTGTCTACCCAAGAAACGCCTCAAACGAGAGAGAGGAATCACTCAATGGGAATGGCAACCGCCAAATTAGTTCGGTTTTATTTTCACCCACGACTAAAGATGTCGCAAATGATACTCGTGACTTTTATAGGGGGAATAAAACTACGGTATCGGCGAACTCCGGATGAGAACAGCACAACTATGGAGTTCGACAACCCTACTCTAAGGGACGAAGACTATGAATGGGTGCCCGTTCCAGTAAAGAAAGGTTAGGTGCATGGTGTGACTGTAACTTATGAATGGAAATGTTATTATTACTGGTAGTCTGTCTTTGTGATGTATTATTCATGCACAGTGTGTGTTCAGAGCAAATTTATTCTTGGTAATATACCAGATTCAGTATTTCATCTCTAAAGCCATCTCTGCACGGATGCAACATGCTACAATAATTGTTTTCACTCGTTAATCGTTAAAGGAATCTTTCGATAACGCTGAATGTATTATTGTCAGGTACTCTAGTACTTATTCATGGAGCGGTGGCCCATAAAAGTGAGAAGAACCTTTCTAATAAGCCGCGTCAGATCTATACATTCCATGTAGCAGAAAGTGAGAACACAACTTGGAGCAAACTCAACTGGTGAATATACATTTCTCAAATACGTACATTTAGCGCCACCTAGTGGGGTGTTATTATATATACTTGGTAGTATTGCATGTTTACACACGAGATGTACTGGACGTATCGATTCTTACACGGAAAACTTAACGACTGGCTTTGTAGCTTGAGAAATCCATCTGTTGTTAAGAATTTTCTTCGTGTTTTTCTTTTTTAGGTTGCAGCCAACTAAAGAGCTGCAATTCCCTCAGCTCTTTGGATAAGTTATCTGTTTTAATTACTACTTCTGGACTGAACTACTACAACTGAAAATCTAATGGACAGCTGGACAAACAACTTAATTTATGAGAAGTCCTAGCTACTGAAAAATGGGTGCTCTGCATATTTTCTGGAAACTGAATTAAAGATAATATATAAAGGCGAGGCGTGCTAAAAAATTACTCCGGATAAAGCACAATGTAAAAACTTGTGCTAGTGATTGCTGGCAGTTTAGTTTCTGTGATATTCTGTCACATATTAGTTTTAGGTTTCTGGATACCAGACGCCTGCTTGAACATACACCGACGCACAGTAACGTCAACAATCTGATTATAGTCTTGATCTTGCCGAAGGGCAAATTCACAACTGTAGTGGTTGTCATTTTCTTTTTAATAGTAAATTTCGCCGAGATTTTCATATGTGCAACTGACGATATGAAAGGTGCTATCATAGATGTATAAAAACACATTATGTGTTTTGTATGTATTTGTTTATGTATACGTAATGTCTGTATCGGCGTATGTGTTTTTATATATCTAATTATCTATGGTTCTATATAAAAAGGAAGTCGATATAAATGGTGCTATATAAAAAGGAAGTCGGTAGCGGCTCGAGTCTATTGACGCTATCTGAGATGGTCCATCTGGTTTTGGGTGTGCTGTCAGATCAGTTTGATTTGGAAGACATTTGTGCCTTCAGAAGGTGAGTTCTGGTTTACAACTCTCTAAATGGCAGTTTTGATATCCGTGGTATTAGGGACGAAGTGTATTGATGAATCTTGGTATCCAAGTTGGCAGTTAGGTTTAAATGTCGGTTACCACACAGTCAGCTGCCAAAATTTAAAATCGGGATGTTTGTTGTTATTCACCATATAAGAAAAAAATATAATGATTGTTGTTTTATGAAATAAATTTATATTTGATTTTACAAAGTTCTAGTTTTTTTTTCTTATTATACACCATGATTTTGTAATTCTACTTGCCACCTAACAACTCCTTCTGTTTCACTTCCATTAGGTGCTCTGCTTTTTGACTAAATTCTTCTGTTCTGTGTTGAATCTGGAATAGATAAAAAAAGATTTCACAAGAAATTAGAAACGTCTTCTCTAAACATGACGCATGTGACATCACAATAGTCACACTTCTGCTGAATTGATTTATTGCTTGTAAAGTTCCTTTAAAAATGATGCCAGTAAGCACTTGTTCCTTAATTCATTTAAAGGTGCATATACTACTCAACTAGCCCATAAGCCTGAATGAAATAAGTCGCATCCATCATCAAGTGCCTCCAATTTGCATATAGTTTTACACGTGCCAAACATAATGTCGACTGCAGCACTTTGCTGCTAAGAATTTCCCTTAGAACATACGTAACAGTTGCTAGAACAGCCTGTTAATCATGCCAGAATGATAAGTTGGGTTGCTAATAGAATTTATAAGCAAATTATTTCCTATTCTATTACAGTTGTTACATAGTTTTACAAGAACATGTGTCTTAATAAGCAGAACTACCTGTACTTTTGATTCCTTCTCACTGTTCACACATTACCTACGCTATATTAAAAAATTACCGTTTGTTTAACATTATATATCAGATCTTCTGATACGCCATCTTTCTTCTTTCCGCATTCCTTGATGTAACGGTTCTGAAGGTCTCTAAGCCTTTCCTTGGTTTTCACACACAGCATCCGAGCAGATTTGGCAAGGCTTTCTCTGTGTTCCCGTGTCACCCTAAAATGACATGACATAAGACATTATTGCACAACCCCAGTATCAAATGCACTTGGCTGAAAATACACAAAAAATTACCACATAAACAACATATAAGATTTGTGTACTGTTCAACCGATTGCCATTCTGTATTCTAGTGGGATTCAGTATTCCTCTGTATAATCCAGACACACTCCTACTGGTCAGCAAAAGTTGCTCATGTATCAGATTTAATAGCTAAAGGTATAGAATCAGATGCAACTTTCACATACTCACCTGCTTTTACAATCTACAAGTATCATTCGTTTTTATTGAACACAAGCGACACCAAATTGTACATTACAGCTAGAAAATTCTCAAATTCCTTCAAACCAATTGCAAATAACAAAAGCAGTGCGTAAGAGCAAGGACACAAGACTCTAACCTCTGCCTGATAACAATAATTAAGAAACGCAAGCTTACTTTGTGATTGGTATGTATATCATGTTCGCTTCTTGTTGTGGATTGATGTTCATCCCAGAATCTCTCAAAGCTGTTAAAACTGCTGGGATTGCCTATTTGTAAACCAGTAATGACTGAATTAACATCACTGTACCCTTGCTTGATGTAAATTTTCAAAGGTTCAAACTAGCATTAACTAATGCAACACTTTCCATAATCATATCTGTGAAATGGAAAATTTGACAGTTTTTGTTTTCAGACCTGTGGAAATGCTCCCACGTTGATGATCATTAGATTCGGGTTCTTCATGACGATCTGAGCAAGTTGGTTAAGTGGATATGTATCACCTTCAAAATCCACCTCTAACTGATCCACAACACCTATAAAACACCAACAAAGAAGTTACGACATCGTAGTAAAAAACAACACACAAAATAAAATAATTTTTGCAAGACATTCACTGGTTTTTTCTAACTCCTATACTCCAATGGCTCTATATTACTATTTTCAATATTGCCACTAGAAACAATGTTTTCTTCTATATTGAAAACAAATAACGTATTGTGAATAAGAAATGTGAAATTGTTAATATGCAGATTGCATATTAATGTACATATTGCATGGCACGTAATGATGTCATGTATCACACATGGCCCTACCTGTAGAGGTTCTAAGTGACAGATTTTTGGTGAAGTCTTGTTGTAGCCCATCTATGATTTCTTGCATTTGCTTCCGCAGCTTTTCGGGATTTATAACAACCATCATTTCGTCATCTCGTAATTCAACTTTGGGTTTTTTTTGTTTCCCTCCTGTAACAGTGGTAACAAAGTGAATCTATAAACATTATTTTTTATATTAGATTGATGAGTTTCAATCATCATTTTACTTACCAAATATCTAATAAATTTTAACCTTTTACAGGGTTTCTTCCGAGGGAAAATTAGACAAAGGAGGTAAAAAAATTTATGGCCAGTTTGGGAAATAAACATGCATGATGGATTCAAATACAGGATCAGGATGTATTGATATACTTATAGGTATATAGATACAGGATATACTTATCAGTAAATACAGGATGTATTGATATACTTATAGGTATATAGATACAGGATATACTTATCAGTAAATACAGGAACATTTTCACAGCCGCGATGTTAAATTTGACAACTGCGGTGCGCCACTAGCTGTGCCTCTTATGTATAAGAAACCCTGTTTTAGTTAGTGGAACGACGACAGACGTTTTGAAAGACTTCACTTTGAAAGGCTAAATGCCCCAATATTACAGGGTACATGCAGTCACATTTGTACTTTCTGTACCCAAAGGTAAAAACAGATAAACTTATTTGAGTGGGAATCATCGACTGGAGGTGGCACCATATACGGTACTACAACTCACAGGCACTTGGAGTGTTTCAATAAAATATAATGCTAAATAAATACGAAATCTACTCTCTTTCACCTATTACTGCCGACAATTTCCTGTAAATGCTCATCTGCAACACACAAGTACACCGCACGCTAGCGCTGATAAGGTCTATGTCCCCTACAGTACTATCAGAGGGTAACCTAGGTACGGTTCGATATATCGGATAGTACCTCGGGGGTACTATACATTATGTCGCTGCGTACCCTGCATTGTCGCGCCGTACCCTGACTTGTAACCGATGTATTTCCGATGTTGTAAAACTAAAATATAAAAGCTAGCTCTTCGCTTAAAAAAAAGAAAAAAGAAAAATATAGTCAAACATATAGCATACATTTTTATTGGATTGCGATGTTTTGAAGTTTCTTCTATGTGATGTGGTAACTTGACAGTGTATGTATTACGACATCAGTTGGCTGAAAGTAAGGGTACGGTGGGACAATGCAGGGTACGCAACGACATATCGTATAGTACCCCCGCGGTACTTTCCGATATATCGAACTGTACCCAGGGTACCCGCCGATAGTACCCTGGGGGACATAGACCTTATCAGCCACGCTAGCTGCTGCACACGGACACATAAATATATAGTTATATATAGTTACACTATATATTTATGTGTCAATGTGCAGCAGCTAGCGTGCGGTGTACTTGTGTGTTGCAGATGAGCATTTGACCGGCATTTACAGGTGATTATGGGCAAAATAGAGTAGAGAAACATTAAGACTTTGGTAGTAAATATATTTCGTGTTTATTTACCTTTTTTTTTGTTGAGACGTTCCAAGTGCCTGTGCAACAACTCATGCTCATAGGGTCTATGCCCCTCAGGGTACTACCAGAACGTACCCTGGGTACGGTCCGGTATACCGGAACGTACCCTGGTAACTATCTGATATGGTTAGCGTTAGCGTTAGGGTTAGGGTTAGGGTTAGGGTTAGGGTTAGGGTTAAGGTTAGGGTTAGGGTTAGAGTTAGGGTTAGGCAAGGCTCCACACTAACCTTTTTTTCAGTGGCCCGGCCGGGCCACCAAAATCATTGATTTTCAATTTTTGGTGGCC